ATGATGTTTCATTCAGAAAAAAATGCAAGGTTATTGGGGCCAGCAGTGGCATGGTGGTTAAGGTGCTGGACTCCCACATGGCCGCCCACAGTTTGAGTCCTGGATCTATCAGCTTTAAAATCTCATTGGGTGCCAGTGCATGCATTCCTAAAATCCTGCAAGGAGATTAGAGAAGAAGGAATTGCTTCATGACCATTCCTCAAGGGCTGATTTCTTCCTTTCCCTCTCTGTTTCTCTCTGGCAAGCACACACACTCTGTGACAAAAACCTGAAAAAAAAAAAAAAAAAAAAAGGACAGGCTATCCATATATACCTGAAACTTCCCTAAAATATCAATATGACAATATTTTGGTAAATATAAATGTGTACACATTGAAGAATAAACATGAGAGTCTTCATGGTGGTCTCTGGGTGGTAGAATGTGGATGTGATGTTTTTACTTTCTGGGTTTTTGTTTTTCTGACTTTTTATTTATTTATTTTTTAAGACAGGGTCTTGTTGTAATCTTCCTGCTCAGCCTCCTAGCTGGGATTCCCAGTGCACTTCCACATGCCCAGCCTTTAGGCTGAATTGACAATGGAATCCAGACCATCCACGTTGGTCTCAGACTGCAGAGTACGTCTTAGCCAGGCCTGTCGCTGACGCTGGGCCTGTTTTTCTGATTTTTAAAATGGTTTTCTACACTGAATATATGTACTATTTGTACCAAAACATTAATTATTTTATAAAGACAGGAATCAATAAGAAAAATGACCTAATAATCAATAGTTAATGTATTACATGTGCTGAAATCCCACTAGGAGTTACGTTTGAGCTTAAAAATTCACTCTAAAACTGTGCTTTCTAAAATTTGAAACACCTATCCCTTTACAAAAACGTCACTGATTTCAGAAACCCCTTTAAACTATTGCCCACAGACTGAAAAGACCAACCCAGGACACTAGACAGGAGACAGGTAGCCATGGGTAACTGCATGGGATTTAAAAATAAAGAGGAATTGCTGTCCTCCGGTGAATGCATTCAAGACTGATAACTGATCTGTATTATACAAGCCAAAAAAAAAGAAAAAGAAACCCACAAAACCCTCTTATTCCTCAATGGCAAGGTCTGAGACTTAACCCACATTACTCTCTCAACTCTCGGAGTCAGATGGCGAACCCTGATGAGAGTGGGTGTTGGCCATTCGAGGTGACTTGCAGGGCAGGTTTCATTTCATTTAATGTCATCAGAAATCACAAGGTTGCAGAGATATAAATAGCTGTTTATTTCCTACTCGCCAGGCACCCACACATGTCTTAGGTGCTCAAGAAAAGGGTTTGAAAGTTTCTAAAAACAAACACAAGCCTTCCTGCTCAGAAGCACCTCCTCTCACCCCAAAGGTATCCTCAGTTATTCATGAGCTTCTAAGACGGAAAGGCACAAGTCTCATTCAGAACTTTTGAAACGAAAAGCGCTAAAAGACAAAACTACAGGTCAGCTAGCAACAAAAAAAAGCACCACAACTTGTGTCTGCTTGAGACGTCAGGATTTAGTTTGTATTTTCTGTGGCTGATGTTTAAAGGGGCCAGAAGGCAAGGTGAGAACTCTGAGGCTTAAGCTATTCACTTTCAATATCAATACAAATCTGGGCTGGTCTCGTAGCACACTGGTTAGATTCTGTGCAGTGGAAGCTGGAATCCGACATGGCCCACCAGGGTCTGAGTCCTGAACCCAGGGTTCTGACAGGATGGAGAGTTAAGAGGAAAAAGAATTGAGGTCGACCAGATCCCACTGGAGGGTACTTTCTCTCTCTGTGTTTCCCTTGCTCTCTGTATGTTCAACTAGTGGGTTATATTTTAAAGAGGTTTCTGAAACCAGTAAAGTTCAATGCAGAAGTAGAAATCCCATGTTAAAACAATCCAAACTATTATGTTTTTTTTTTTTTGAGAGGTTTTTGCTAAAGGGCGTGCGCGCTTGCCAGAAAGACAGAGAGAGACAGAGAGATAGAAAGTGAGAAACCCTTCTCCTCTATTCTCCTCTTGGGCTCTTGGGCACACACACATATGCGTCTAGCGTAAGTTTAAGCCACTGGGTCCAGGACTTGAACCATGGTCGATTACATGGGAGTTCAGCAACATAGCCATTACGTTAACTGCTGGTCTTTAACCAAAATATTATTTAAAAAAAAATACACAGGAGAGGTTTCCCAAAAGTTTGTGGTAAATGCATATGAAAAACCATATGTGAGTTTCAAAACATTTTTGCACCAAAATAAACTATTACTTTAATTTGGCCTTCCATGAACTTTTTGAAGTCCTCCCATATATCACATATACTTAGTAAGCCTTGAAGTGTCTTCCTTTATTTTTATTTATGTATTTATTTGTTTTTAAGAGAGAGTTTTGCTATGGGGAGCGTACACTCACTGGAGAGACAGAGAGACAGAGACAGAAAGTGAGAAATCATCCCTCAGGAGTCATGGCCACACCTCAATCTCTTCTCCTTCATTTTCCTTTTGGGATCTTAGGCACGCATGCACATGTGCCCTGCATGAGGTTTAAGCCACTGGGTCTGGGACTCGAACCATAGTTGACTACATGGGAGTCCAGCAACGTAATCATTATCTGGTCTGCTAGTCCTGCAGTGCCTTCCTTTAAACAGGGTCAGATCTCCATGGCATGGGGATTCGTTTAGAAATGGAACTTCAAAAATCAGGTCAAATCCATACTGTTTGTAAGTTATACCAAAATCTAATGAGTATTACTTTTAGGAAGATGAATACTAAGGGCCAGAACCAACGTCCCCAGAAACAAGTGAGGAAGACTTGTGTGTGGCTCAACTTGAAAGCATGATCAGCATTTCAAAATGAGAAGCCCTATGCTTCTCTAAGAAATTATTCTACCTGGTGAGAATGTTGGCTGAAGAGGGCATCTTAGTAAAGGAAGCTAGAGCATTGGCATATTTCTGGAAATTCGGAGAGATGCCAGTGGAGACGTTAAGATGACTTCGTTCAAGCCAGAGTTTGGAACTGTCATGGGAATCATAAATCAGCTTCTGCCTGCTAAGACTGATTAAATCTAAGTGCTCCTTATTCATAATGATGACCACTAACGCTGGACAGCAGGATGCAGCAATGCCTCCTCTAGACCCCAGGGGGCGCAATGCCAATAGCTAAAGAAAGTGGAAGGCGACCGGAGCTGGCGCCCTCCAGCCCAAACACTGCACTCACCTGAGAGAGCCAAGGCTTCGGCAGACCTTATGCTTGGCTCTATGGGGATTCCGGGAGCCTGGGACTCAGGTGGGGCACAAGCATAAAAGGTTCCTGTCACCTGGCAACCTGCATTTGCAAATAAAAAGCAGATGACGTCTAAACAGAGAGCCTAGGCTTCAGGAGGCTGCCTAGGAAGGAAGGGGCCAGTGCCCCACTCCCCTTCCAACCCAAATTCAGCTTGCTCAAAGAGCCTCCCAGCTAACAGGAGACAATCTTGTGAGGCAAGGACAAGTTCAAGTCCAGCTGGGAAACAAAACAAAACAAAACAAAGCAAAAACAAAAAAAAAACAAGGCTGAAGGAGGTAGGAGCCTTTGCACAGCTTTGGACAGAATCTCAGAGTTCTCACTCTCTAAACAGAGAAACTAAGGCTCAGAGAGAGATGAAGTGATTTGCCCCTGTTTGAACAGCAGATTCTCAGCAGAGATGACAGCTCAGGCCTATGTGCCTTCTGACGTCAATGAACCCAATTAAAAGCTAACAAATTGAGGCCCGGCCATGGAGGCACAGGTGGTAGGGCACTGCTGCAAGATCTTGGAGCCATCTGGAAGGCCTAGGTCTGAATCCCAAGTCAACAAGAACATGACAGGCATGCCAGTGATCCTGGCTGACTGGGAAGTCCTTTTGGGGAGGACTTCAGGAGGGTGAGGCCCTGTTAGGGGCCCCCATGCTTCTCACACACTTGATTTCTTTCATGACAGAAAGGAACAACAAGAAAAAACTCAACAAATTGTTTAGTTCTCACTTATTTTACTTGCTAATTCTGGGTTAAGGAGAACACTGAACCGTGTCTCCTGGCAGCACAATAGCCGGAATAGAGAAGGGATATGTACAGACTTAATTTTGCCAGCACTTCGTTTAGCGTTGTCTATGCTTCACGATACGTCTCTCTAGTCCATCTTTTTGCAAGATTGTCAACGCTGCCTCTTGGCGACGGTCACTAGTTTAATAGCACCAGACGCACTGGATACCGGTCTGAATTTCAGAAGCTAGTTTAATCCTAGCTGATTGCTCCATTATGCTTTAGATAACCCACCTCTACTGCAAAACACTTCTGAAAAACTGATGAAACTGAATTCTGAGCTTTTTTTGTAAGCATATCATTCAATATAAACATAAAACAAGGTCTATTTCTTCAATACCAAGAGCCAAGAATTACCTAGATATGATTGAAAAAGGGAATCTGACCAAACTGAGGGGTATATATTCCTAGAACACACAAAATGGATCAGCCTGTCTCAGGACTTCTAGTTAAATAACTTAACTCTCAGAAGTCCTAAAAGCTTGTATTTTACTGCCTTGAATATACCTTGCAAAATTTCCCCTATACTTTGCTTAATGAAGAGTTCTTGCTGAGACATCTCATTCTGATGTCTGGAGAACTCCTACAGGCATGGGACCACATCTAACCCAGAATAAGTGAGTATGTTTTGGAACTCATTACTAGCTAGGGACCTGTGGGGATGATTGATTTTTTTTTTTTCATGATGTTTATCCCTTTCCTTCTTATTCACCTCTGATACCAAGAACAGCTACAATGGACACACCACTATTAAAAAGAAATATGCTCTCTTAATAATCTCTTGGTGTCCCTACAGAGAGAGGGCTGGAGTTCAACTAGGAGACTAGTTAGATTATGTAGCCCTTGATCAGCATTAAAAGGACAACCCAGGAGGGAACACTCTCAAAATGCATCATGTCTTACATGAAAGTATAGGATTATTTAGGGAGGATGAAAAATATTAACCTATTAACCAGATAATTTTTAAAATGTAGACAATCAGGTTGACATCTGAAGTTCCTTGTTTTTTGTTTGTTTGTTTTTGAGAGGTTTTTGCTATAGGGTGCGTGTGTTTGCTAGAAAGACAGAGAGAGAGAGAGAGACAGAACGTGAGAAATCACCCCCTGGGGTGGGGGCGATGGCCACACCACAATCCCTTCTCTATTCTCCTCTTGGGATCTTAGGCACGCACGCACACGCGCCCGGCATGAGTTTAAGCCACCGGGTTTGGACTCACGCACGCACACGCGCCCGGCGTGAGTTTAAGCCACCGGGTTTGGACTCAAACTGTGATAGACTACATGGGAGTCCAGTGACATAGCCATTATGCCAAAGGCTGGTCTCTGAGGTCCCTTGTCTTAAGTGGATGGCTGGACTTAGGGGTTAGGAGACGTAAAACTATACTCCAGCCCCTCACTCTTACTGGGTAACCTGGGAATACTACTCACATTCTGGGAGCTACATGATTTCCTCTATGTAAAAAACAGTGCAGTTTTTAGCTGTTGGGAAGCATCTGTGTGGTATTTAAATGAGACCCCACATAGGTCAGTGCCTCGCTTTGGTCCTATGAGTAAACCTGACTCAGAAGACCCGACCATCCTACTGAGAGAAAATCTTCCTGTCCCTGTCACTGTACACAGGCCTTCCTAGCAGTCTCTGAGAAGGAGAAAGGGTTGCGGGGCTGCCCAGAACTACACATTAGCATTTCTTACCATTTTCACAAGGTGGGCCTTGCCAGTGGTGGCTACGGGGTCCAAACGTCACCGGACATTGATAGGGGATTTCAGGATGCGGCTGATCAGGGACGTAATCCCTCCAGCTCCGGTCATGGGGTGGCATCATATAGTTATGAACCTGCTAAAGGAATGAACACAGGGAAGCTGAGATGAAAAGCACTGGGGGGGGACCAGCAGTTAGCGTAATGGCTATGTCGCTGGACTCCCATGTAGTCGACCGCCGTTCGAGTCTCGGACCTGGTGGCTTAACACTCACGCTGGGCACGTGTGCATGCATGTCCAAGATCTCGAGAGAGGAACGGAGGAGAAGGGCTTGCGGCGTGGCCATTCCCCCTGGGGGGTGATTTCTCACTTTCTATCTCTCTTGTCTCTCTCTGTCTATCTGGCAAGCGCATGCATCCTGTAGCAAAAACCTCTCCCCCGCCCCACAAAAAAAAAAGGAAAAAAAAAAAAAAAAGCACTGGGGATGGGGGCTGCTTTTACAGCCTCTCGAACTCCTCAGGAACTCCTAACTTGGCTAGTGACCAAATCATTTTATCATTCCCCAAAAGCCTGGAGCAAATTGTTCATCATACTAGATGGAAAGTAGCCCTAGAGAACCGAAAAGCACAATAGGGACAGTGTTGGAAGGGAATGATTGATGGAACGCTTCATCATATGGTTAAACCTGGCACCAAAAATACTGCGGGGAAGCTTGCCTTCTTTTACCCACCAAAGTGTATCCAACAGAGCTGTAATTCACATCAGGAAAGCCTGAAGAGGTCAGCTGCCCTGTGGTTTCACATGATAAAGCACTACTTCCAAAATCTTCCACTTCCACAAAAGGTCTGTTTCCCAGATTTGAGAATCAGTAGAAGACGCCTATTCCAACAGGCAGACACACCCAGCTCTGCCCGTAAAACCAACACCCACAGCAGGACCAGGTGGGAAATGAGATGTTCATTCAGTGACCAGGGATTATGTCTGGCTATTGGGCTGATCACAACAAATACCAAGTTCTGCTGGTTTTGTTCATGGGTGAGGCCAGCTGACACACACAGCCTCATGCAACCCGTATTCACTGGGTGGACACCCAGCGCCCCCCCCTCCCCACCATACCTGGGCTGGCAGTGTGGGGTAAGGAGCCGTCATGGTGTAAGGGTGGCTCATGGTCATCTGTGGGTCCTCCAGGGTGAGCTGCTTCACTCCTGTGTGTTTGGCAAAAAGGGAAATGGGACAGAGTGAAAAAAGGAACTGAATTAACTCAACGTCAAATCTTGGAAAAATACTTGAAGGTTTAATTCTTAGAATGCACAACCTCTGTTGACAAATAAGGCATTTTTAAGCAACTTCCTTAGGCAAGTTTCTATTGATACCATTAAAATGATTTCTATAAGGTCTGACCGGTACAGGACAGGTAGAAATAAATGACCACCGTGTGAGAATGCACTTTGTAGAATAAAGGGGCCCATTTAGGACATGTTGACCTAAGGAGGTCGTCTGCAAATACAAATTAAAATACAGATTCCTTGGGACCAGCAGATAGCATAATGGCTACATTGCTGGATTCCCATGTAGTCTGGTTCAAGTCCCAGACCCGGTGGCTTAAACTCACGCTGGGCACGTGTGCGTGCATGCCCAGGATCCCGAAAGGAGAATGAAGGAGAAGGGGTTATGGTGTGGCCATCCCCCCTTGGGGGTGATTTCTCGCTTTCTGTCTCTCTGTCTCTGTCTTTCTAGCGAGCGCATGTGCCCTATAGGAAAAATCTCTCCAAAATAATAATAATAATAATAATAATAATAATAATAATAACATACAAATTTCTGAGGTCTACTCCAGACACACTGGTCAGAATTTTGGAACAAGGGACCAGCAGTTAGCGTAATGCCTATGTTACTGGACTCCCACGTAGTTGACCACGGTTCGAGTCCCGGACTTGGTGGCTTAAAACTCACGCCGGGCGTGTGTGTGTGCATGCCCAAGATCCTGAGAGGAGAATGGAGAAGAAGGGATTGGAGTGTGGCCATTCCCCCCGGGTGTGATTTCTCGCTTTCTGTCTCTCTGTCTCTGTCTGTCTGGCAAGCGCATGCGCCCTATAGCAAAAACCTCTCTTAAAAAAAAAAAGAATTTGGGAACAAGAGGTCTAGGAAGCCAAATTTCACTGAGCAGTCTGGCTAACCAGAAAAGCCGACATTGAAAAAGTTTATTTAGGTTACTTCTTTCATGAGAGACCGTGAGAAAGAACATGTGAGAGAGAGAAAGCAGGAGAGAGAGAGAGGGAATGGGTACCCTTGACAGGGTCACATCACATCAGTGTCCCCTTCTCTGACAGGTCAGGATCTTGGGTGTGTGCCCCCAGTGTATTTCAGGCCTACTTGGGATTTGAACCTGTGGATGGCTTCCAACACTACCAAGAAACACACTACCACACGCCACTGCTGTTGGGCCTGATACTTTTATTGATAAATAGTAACAATATATGGACGTGTGTTTCCTTGTACAAAATAGTTAACCACAAAGGATTGTTGGATAAGTAAAGCTTTGACAAGTTTTCTATGTTTGCTTTTGGAAATCTGGCCCATCTCATAACTGGAAAATATACATACGTGTGTGCATGCACACGCACACACTTAGAAGCCCAGAGTCAGAGACATTATCCTACGCTAATACCACAGATTTTCAGCTGACCCAGGGACCTTGGGCAAGGAGGCCTGCTGGGCTTGAAAATGAGGCAAGAGGCAGGCAAGCTATAGAAAGTCAAAAATAGAAAGCCATCTTCAGAATGAAATGCAGGCGTTTTAAATATCAGACTGCCTTTTTTTTGTGACTCAGATTCAGGAAAGCCCCTACCTTTTTTGGCTCCCTCTGGGACGATCCTGTAGACTTTGTAGGGGTCTGAGATGTCCAGCTGGCTCCGCTCCACCAACTCCTCAAAGTCATTGCTCTTGTTCAAAGCACACCGTAACCGTGTCTTCCAGGTCGGAGGGTCTGGCTTATCAATGCCTTCTCGGAACTTCCCTTTAAATAGTGCCCAAGCCTAGTGGGAAAGAAGGAAGGGAATGAAAAGTCAAAATTCAGGTCTTTTCAAAAAGAATCGGAGAATTGTATTTTTAAAGAATGATGCTTCCGTGCGTCAGATTTACACTGTTGCTCAGAACATGAGACAGGTACGGGGCGTAGCTGGGTGAGTTTTCACCTTGGACTTTATCATTGCTCAAGTGAGTAATTTCTGGGTATTTATAAAGGGTGGGGAGAGAGTGGAGGCCCCTGGAATGGGCTCTACTCCCTCAATGTCCAAAGTGACTTTGCCTGAGACCAGGGTCTCAGCACGACTGACCCAGAACACAATCTGAGAGCAAATTCCCAGAGGAAGTCCCCTGCCCTGCCCTGCTCTGCCCTGCCCACCGGTGGAGGATGGGCCCCCAAAGCTGCTCTAGGGGACAGTAATCATGACAGGGACCCGAGCACAGAAAGAGAGCCAGGGAGAGGAGAAGCCCAAACGGAGACCCAGAAATTGGGAGAGAGGGGTAGAGCAGATGAGGGTGAGACAGAGACAAAGACTCAGAAAAATCTTGCAAAACGAGATCAAAGGATCCAGGAGAGACATTTTCAGAGAGATAGTTGGTAAGAGAGACAGGGGCACAGAAAGATGGAGAGCGAGAAACAGGGATGGAGGTACCCAAAGAGAGTTACAAGAAGAGACTGACCCAAAGGGGGAAAAAGTCCGCAGAGACTCAGGAGGAAAAGCAGCTCAGCCGCGGACCAAACGCACATGGTGAGAAAGACAGAAACACACACACATTCTCTCACACCCACGCTGCACAGAGACAGAGACACACACTGAGAAAGGTGTCAGAGAGAGGGTCAGAGACTCGGATGGAAACGGAAGACCCCATAGAGACACGACCCGACCAAGCGCACTCCGGGCCTTCCATGACCTCCTCTGGGCGACCCTGGCAGGGCTTCCCTGCTTCTGGCGCTCTGGGCCTCCCTGGGGATTGCTGGGGACACAGGCTCAGGTTGGCACCTGGTCATTGCAATCGTCTGAGAAGTTGAGACTTCTTTTTCCCAAGGCTCCAGAGGATGCCACCTGATGCTCGCCAGGCGCCAAGGGCTCACCCCATCCGGAGGGCCCGGCCAGCCCTTCCCGCTGAAAACCGCGGCACCCGCGAGTGGCGAAATTGGGGACCCGGGGCAGCAGGGCTCTGAGGGGCCCTCCCCGCCAGCTCGCCCAAGGGCTCCCCACATGCCAGTGACCTTGAAGAGAGCAGCGTCCTCCTCGCGGTTGTAGTCCTGCTTGCCCGCGTGTTTCCAGGGGATGCGGAAGATGCTCTTCTCCTCGTTCTCCCACACCAGCCCCGGGTACTTGCCGCTGTCGATCTGGTCGATCAGCCACTGGCGGAGTTTCCCGTTGCCGCAGCTCACCGCGCTCATGCCGAACTCTGCGCCCCGGCCGCCGCCTTCCAGGTTCATGCCCAGCGTGCCCACCGCCGTCCTCACTCGCGCCCAGGATCCTGCTCCCGCACTCGCTCCGCGCTGCAGGGGACAGGAGAGCTGCCCTTCGGCCCCTGCCGCGCCACACTGGGGGCACCCTAATCCAACCCCCTGTGGTGGTGACCACGACACCAAGGCGTCTCCGAGGTTGCGAAGCGCTCGGGTGCAGTGTTAACTTTGGCCAAAGGCCCCTGCGAGTGGGCACCTTCGCGACGGGCCCGGGCGCATCCTCTTGGCACAGTTCTGCCACCTCCCGGGCGCGCCCTCGGCCAAGGCCACACGCCCGCCTTTCTGGCACTCTCCGCTTCAAACGCACCCGCGGCCCCAAAGTTGGCCACACCACTCTCGCCTTGGCGCGCACTCCAGGACCCAGCACACTCGTAGTAGTTCTCGATCTCCTGCCGCTTCCAGCCCACGTCACCTTTCCCTGCGAGTTCCCACCCTGCTCCACTCCACTCACAGCCCTGGGGGTCCCCACGCGCAGAGCCGTCACTGCGGGCCCGCCTGCGCTGCGCCAGCCCCTGTCCCGCTTTCTGCTCCCGCAGAGGCACTCGGTGCCCCAGAACAGCCCCTGCCTTCCGCAGCTATGGAGGATTCAGTGGGCCCTGAAAGCAACAAGTGGCGGAGACTCGGTGCTAGCGGAGGACCCTCGCCAAGCAGAGGGAGATGTTGGCTTGCAGAGCGCCCGTCCGCCCAGCGGGACGCGAGAGAGGGCCTCGCAGGGCGACGCCAGCTCCTGGGCCTTGGGACAACAGGGAGGGTCAGGGCAGGGGTTAAGGCGGCAGAGCTCAGGGCTTCCAGCGGGCCCCAAAGTGCAGCTCCTACTCCTCTTTCAGCAGCCGTCGGAGGCCACGGTAAATCTGAGTTTCTTAAGAAGCAGCAGCAGGGAAGGAGCTTCAGATTGCAGCCGGCAGTGCGAGGGGCTGTCCAGGAGCAAGCCTGTCCAGGTCCACCCCGTGGGGGACCCTTTGACCGCTTGGCTACTCTTGGGACAGCCTGGTGAGCTCATCCCGCCCAGTGCGTGGGGCCCCTGGGCGCGGGCTGGGTCACCCTGCGGGGTGGTGGGGCCGGGGACCGAGGAGAGCGGGCCCCCGGGGATGCTCTAGCGCCGTCCGGAGCGGCCCCTCCAAGGGGCGCGCACTCACGCCCTGCTTTAGCTAGGACGCAGTGGGGATCGGGGCTCCCAGAGCAGGTGCTCTCCCTTCCCGCTGCTAAGATGGGGTCCCTTACGCGGCCTGGGGCCCTAGCACGCCACCTGGGACCGCTGGCCCGTGCTCTGCGTCCTCCCTCGTGCCAGCTTCACGACCCTCTCTGTGGACTCCAGGCCTTACCTCGTTAGGGATTCGGAGCAGGGGACAGCGGTGGGACCCAAGTTCAAGTGGTGAAACTAAGACTGGGAGGTGAGAAAGAGGAACTTTATAGAGCTTGAAAGAGGCGCTGGGGGCGGGGCCGGGGGCGGGGCGAAGCGGGAGTGGCTCCG